AAGAAGGAATTTAAGGTGTCCGGAATTAAGTACCTAAGGATTTTACTTACGCCTACAGGAAAGAGGCGTGACTTTGTCTAAGTGAGAGCTGATAAACAGTACTTTTTCCGAACTGTCACTTTGATGAGTCAATGGCTGGTTATTTTTCTATTGCACAACTGTACATCAACATATGATTTAATTATTTCAATAGAAATAAGTTTATATTATAATTGAAATAGAGTATTGGTCATTTATAAATAAATAAATAAATTTGTTAGGTATTATTACAACATCTAGTTTAAATAAATCACTTTTAACGGCTTGAAACGCGAAATGTAATAGTAAACTTACAACAGAGGCCTCTCGTGATCACGAGTGCTACAAAGCATTTGAAACGTCGAGCCGCAGTTAAAATATATTATTTATTAGTTAACTATTACATTTCGCGTTTTAAATAGTTAAAAGTGTTCTATTTAAATGTGTACTAATCGCGTTAACTACAAACAATACATCTAGACTACTTATACAAAATTTAAACTAAATTTTGCGGTTTAATTCTGTAGGGTTTCGTTATTCAAATGTTAAACGTGTTGCGAGCGGTCATGAGTTCAAATTTATCTACAATCAAGCATTCGGTCTGCCCTATGTCCAAGATAGTGGAGACGGGATTACACTTTATATTTTATTTCTTAGGTTCTACAAAATTTTACCATATATATTAGACTCAACTTAATTTTTTTTCATGTGAACTTTTTAGACAAGTTTAATTTCTTTGTTTTTTAGTCGCTAGAGGAATGTTAGAAACGCTATCTAGCGAACTGTACGTGCCTCGGATACAACAGGTTTGCCATAAAAACGCATCGATTGTTATTCCTACAGCAACAGCTTATTTAGATTCGTGGCAGATTCTGCGTTTGAGACATAAAATGTGAAGAACTGCGCTATATTTTTGTACTATATTTATACATACTCAAAGGCATTATTAATTAATTCTTTGATCAATCGAGGAGCTAACATCTCCTGATGATGATATGCTGAACGATGGCCCCGAAAGCCTTACACAATTTATACTCAAAGGCATCAAGGATGTATATCTTTTACATAAAATATTATCCTTTTTATTTAGAGTGAGAGAGTGAACTCCCATTATTAAGGAAACTTAGTATTCGACTAGAACACAGTATCATTTTTCCCGGGATTCGAATCCAGGACTTTTCGTGGTTAATGTATCCTGAAGAATACGTTTGGACACTAATAGGCGCAGCTGCCCTTCATATTATTTTTATTTGTTTAATTCTAACATAGGTATTTACAAAATCTTACCATCATAGTTGCATACGTCATTATTTTGTTTAATACAGTAGGAGAAACATGAGGAAACTAAATACATTTCACTTAAGCTATTTCAAAGTTATGTTGTCCGACATACTATTAAAATAATAACAATTTAAAACGATATTATTATTTCTATTTACATGAGTACTATTATAAATCTATTAGTTTTATCTAAGACGGATAAATTACACTTATTAGTCCACACTATTACCTGTTATCAAGGCATTAAGTTGAAAATTTCCATCTTAACCACAAAACCATGTATAACATTACAAACGTATAATTTTACACACAAGCTATTGACAGATGTAGGTTGTTATCAAGACGATAATTTTATATCATTATTTTTAAATACGTTTCGCCCGTAGCAAGACTTTAGAATAGATTGTTAATGGTTGATTAGAGAGACGTGGCAAACTGTGAACGTAAGTTCTCTTTAAGTATATTACTGTTTAATAATTATGATTGATACTAATATATAAAGCTGAAGAGTTTGTTTGTTTGTTTGAACGCGCTAAGCGCAGGACACTACTCGTAGATGTTTAAATTTTTTTTTTGTATTGGTCAGTGCACTTATCAAGGCAGGCATCACACTGCGACGGACTTATAGGAGCAAAGAAACAGCGGGATATGTGGAGAAAACGGAGGAATTTATCTAGATAAGTCCATGACACCATAATATGTCTATCTTTTAAGATTAACTAGCAAGAACGACGGGACGCGACCGACGTCATGAGTAACAGCTTAAATCTATAAAAATGAAGAGGAGGTTTGCAAAAACGAATTTTAATGCCCAAAATAACTTTTCTATGCGGACGACGTCGCGGACACAGGTAGTCACATATAAAACTGTGAAGTACATTTACAAAAAATTACCAATACAGCAGTTAGTAGCTATTGTGTTGAAGGATTATTATATCTTAATAAGTTATATATATGTATAGATCTATACACAATGAGGTTGATTAAAAAAGCGTTTTGTATTCTATACATTTTCTAAAACAATGTAAACTTAATTTTTAGTCGTTCCATTTGAGTCAAATTACATATGAATTTCTAATTCTGGTTTTCAGAAAGATTTTTCGAGTCTAAATGTTAGTAAGGCAATACGTAGACTTCTGCGCAAGCGCAGTGAATAACAAAGATGTCCCCATACTTGCGCACGCCTCACGATAACACGGAAACGGTGAAAACTCAAACCGACCAGCAAAAGTAAAAACACTTTCTGTACTGATGTACACTACGATCTGATAATACATTCTTAGAATGAAATTTGAACGATGTTTTCTAGGAGAACTTTACCATTTAATTTACTTTTTGACTTAGTAACAAAATCTTGCGAGCCGTTTTGATTTCGTTTCTTAAGTACACTCAAAATATATATAATTTATATATTTTAAGTGTATATGTCATATTTTAAATGTACTTCAGATAAATCATAAAAATAAAAGATAAATCTTTTTAGTATATAAGGCCCACAATTCTAACACATTCGTTCTTAAAAACAAAAATTCGATTACCCACAAGTGATTTCGGCGAAAACACAATTGATCAGAGGGATACATTAAAACCTTACAGACCCAGTCTATATTGTGTTGTGTTTAAGAGCTCTCTTATTGATATTAAAGTTTCTAAAAGTTTTTATATTTATTATAATATATCCAATTCAAATTCAAACAGTATAAAGATCAGAGCATCGTTGAAAAGGCCTTTATATTTTGACTAGAACAATTAAATGTTATATGATAGAGTGCAAAACGTAACTCTATCTGACAAATGAACTCGTTTAATTTTATACGCTAAATTGAATTCGTAGGTTACGCGAAAGGTAAAAATAAAATTTATAGTTAATTAATATTTAACTACGATCCAGCCTTTATAATGCTTTACAGTAGCAGTGGTCGTCAAGAGAGGAATCTTCTTTTTGTCTGAATCATAAAAAATTGGCCCTTGTAAAATATTCCCTTCATTTTTCATTCAAATATTACAAGGATGTGACATCAGTTTTACATCGCAAATAAAAAAAAATCGTATATTCATAGCAGAATCTAAACGGTACCCCGTTTTTAAGAGATAAAAAATACTCTAAACGACATTTTCAAAACGATACGACTAAGATGTTTAGTATAAAAGTGGGTTATAAAAACTAGTTGTAATGACACGAATTTTGCTAATGCTCACAAACCAGTCTGCCATCACACCTGTGTGTATGTAGCTCAAATAAATAAATTCAACGTAAACGGGCCTCAATTTGTACAAGGAATATTAAGTGAAGAAGTAAAACTATTATCAGGTACTTTGTACAGCACTCAGTACTGGAAACAAATAAACGAAGATTCGTTACAAAATTCAATGTGTTTGCAACCAAGCTTCATCGTATCCTAGATACCTATAACACAACTCTGTTAATTCATATAAATCAGGGATGTTATGGATATATAATTTCGGATCTAGATATGGATATTGGTAAAATATAATATCGTTTTCGGTTACGGATATGGATATCCATAACAACACTGATATTTACGATAAAGGATAACCCGTAAGAATTAACTTGCTCCTAGCGCTGTGACGTCATTAGGTAGAGGAAGAGGTGTCACATTCCAGCAGAGTGCACAGTTAATTCGAGTGTAATATTTAGTTAGGCTCCGCCCTATCCGAAATATCCAAAACTTTTTTTCGGATTCGGTTACGGATATATTTTTATCGGATACCCGATAGCTTCGGTTACGGATAGGGATATACATGACAACACTGATATAAGGGCATAGTTCTGTGCCATTCGAAACCGTAATTATTAATTGTTTTCCTAGGATTGTTATTTAGGACCTGTCATAAAGCAATGCTTTGCCTCACGCGGGGAGCTACGACAGAGATGTACATACACAGAAGAAGTTAATAATTGCCTAGTCACATACTTAATTTCTATGTTCTGTGTAAAAACATTTAAAAAATAAACATAGCTATTAAAGTATTCAAAAGCTTAAAGAAATCTTTATAACATTAATGACTGTTTACTAACCAGCTTCCGATAATAAAGTAATGTCAACATCATAAACATTGTGTTTATCATTATACTATTAGGAAGTTTGTAGCTGATAAGACAAAGAAGACTGATTAAGGAACCTTTGACTAGAGACTTTCAAATAGTATTTTAATCAACGTATTTTGGTTTTGATTTTTGACATTAGGCAAGCGACGGACTGTAACTGAAACGCATTTTGACGGATTCTTTATCTGTGAACGGTGGTTTGTGAGCCGGACGGAATTTCGATATTCTTGTCATCCGTCTAATGTCCAGATTCTCAGACTAAAAACCAACAGGTTTCAGAAAAATTGTGAATTCATAAAAAAACATATTAAACCCGGTTGGGATCGGACCTACTATTATGAGCCTGTCAAATTTACCATATCAATTATTAGCTATTTTACCATATGATCTTCAGAAAAAAAAACCCCTCTAAGCGCTTGGACATTGAACAAAACGCATTAAAGTCAATTCTAATTCATTTCAAAATAAAATATGAGTCACAACACCTGATAATGGCATTCCGAACGCGTCCCGGCAACATTTACTAATGTCCCATACAAAATGATAACAATTCCCTTTTGTTAGTTGCCCGGCGTCTACCGAATGAATAATACGTTCAAAAAATATCGTTCTTTATAAATTTAAAAAGAAAATGAGACAAATAATACGTATCGTGTTCTTATTATTTCTGGTCAATGCTGCTTTTGGACGGATTATGAAGAAGTGGAAGTGCCCGGAAGTGCGCGCTGTTCCACATTTTGATTTATCACAAGTTAGTATTTTTATTTCATTTGTTCAATATATATAGACACATATAGAATAAACAACAAATAATTAACGAAGTTATGATTCTAATGATCGTGTATTAAATAAGCTTTTAATATAATATGGTCTAAATAGGCATATTTGCGACAAAGAAGAGTTGTAATAATTAAAAAAAATATATATATTTATTATTTTTTTAAGTTAATCCTATTATCAAATCAATACTCTTCCACAATCAGCTTTTCATTAAACATTAATAACTTTCATTACACAAATGTCCAAAAAGTAACGTCGAGGATAACTTTAAAGGTTTTATTACAAGAGTATATAATATTAGTTACTATTACGATTATGGAAGTATTGGGGTGCGTGGGCGCCGGATGTAAAGTTCGATAACAGTTCAACACGCCAACTTCATATTAATTTCAATTGTTACGTACATTGATACAATGTAACGATTCTATAAAGATATATGGGGTTACGAATGAGTGATAAAATCAATTTTATTGGTGACGCAAGCTCATCAAAGACACGTATAGGTACAAAGGTGTTTAGCTCTGTCAAAATTTTCGATTTCTTGTAAGCCCAACGACATTAGGAAAGATAATAGTGAAGACTATTTTGGTATTAGCTTCATTTAGATTTCTCCACTTAATATTAACACCTGATGTTATCTTAATTTTATTGGATGATATGCGAGAATTGATTACTAATTTAGAAGGCTAGAAATTCTAAACTGCCTAATTAAATTCGAAACTAACTGGAACGAGAATATAATGTATACTTAAAAATAGTGACAATGAGAAAGACTATTGTATAATAACTGTAGGTACATGTAAACGAGTTAGAAAAAATATCTTTAGCATATCTAACACTACACTAAACTTTGACGGCTTATAACGCAAAATATATTTGTTAGTATACAAGTAATTTAGCGTTTTAAACTGTTAAAGTGTTTTATTTACATTAAAATATCTTACTAAGTATCAGCTATTTACTTAATTTTGTTTGTAAAACTGTGTTTCACTGGTGTGGGACAGATACACAAACTTTTCAATCCGATTTTGATTTGATTGAATTTACAGGCAAGTTGCGAACACGGCACCTCTTTAACGCAAAGCTAGACAAAGAATCAAAAGACTTACGAAGATAAATGCATAAGACGTTCCCACAATAAATATCATTCTCCATTACATAAGAGAAACTGTTTGCCATTTCGCTCCCTCGGCTTATTAGAGTGTGCCTTATCAAGCTGACAGCTACAAAATCTCGCTACGGCAAATTGGGTTGGCACAGACAGGAATAACTTATATAGGTCAATAACTCAATGCAAGGGATAATTTTATGTTGTGGAAATACGAAATGAGTAATGATTTTAATACTTGCACTGTGTGTTGAGTAAAAATTTAGTGTTATACATACTTGCTTTCTTTTTATTTTGCAATTGTTCTTTTCGAATGTCGACAGGCATTTTAATACATGTATGTATAGTAAAAGTTAGTACAATTACTTCATACATAGCTATATGTACTTAAGTTTTAGGGGATTTAGAACGCGCAAGCAAACCCTAGTCAACAAGTGTAATTAAACCGTAACTGTTAACATAATGGTTACATCCATAGCATTGCTTAGAAAACGCCAATACATGTTCCTGGGTTCGATCCCTAATAAACAATTATAGTTTTGTAAATTGAAAATCTTTTAAGACTGGCAATATTGTCTTACATCTGAACCAGTATCCGGATCGTTCCGTTTGTTCTTACCAATTGAGCTGCTTTGTCTTACACGTCTTTAGTAGTAATTTAACCTTAGTATGTATAAAGAGATTTTAAATTTATATGAAGCCATCACGTGCAATAACATGTAATACATATTAAAGTTTTCAAATAATAGTTTCGGTCAAACTGGGCACAGAAGTGTTACAGAGAGTGTATCACAAATCTTGTCTGTAAATGTACCGTTCAATGTAACAGACGCAAAAATGTGTCTACCCCATTCAAGGGAAACAACATTTCGCACATGCTTGATCATCCATAATCGCTATCTCACTTCACGCTTAGACACGCAGATAATCTCTCGCTATTAAATGTCTAACGTAATCATCCATAAAGTAGAAAGTGATATGATTCATTCCAGTAAGGATTAAACATAAGCTTTCTTAACGAGAGTAATAAGACAGTAGTATACCGTTGTATAACAATCTATGCAAATGTCTACATTGAGATGTCAGCTTCAACCACCTTGCTTAAATATAAGCTATTGTTATGCTAAAACCAGTTATGATTAAGCTTCTGTTATTGTTTGAGGATTAGTATGAGAGAGATCACAGTGTTTGCATTTGAAAGTGTATTTAGCTGAATAAATAGCTTAATTTAAATTCCGTTCATCAAATATTTGTCTACTATTACTATAATCTTTAATTTTACTACTAGCTACTTTTATCTGACATTTGTTGTATTTGATCTTTAGGATCAAACGGCTTATTGGCTTATAAATGAGATCTTGTAAAGGCCAAAACCAATCTAATGTGAGGCCTTACTAAGTAGAGATTAATAATATTATACGTACGGAATAAACTGACAATAAAACACTTATAATATTTACATACACTTTAGCAATACAAGTTAAACTATAAAAAGACGCCTTTGCGAAGACATGAGCAAAAGCGCTGGTAAGCTAATTTATCGATTAGTAAATAAAAAGAATGATACTTTGACGGGTTAGGGCGTGTAATGGTAGCAAGTGTGGCTAATAATCAAGTGGGATTGGTGATAATAATATTAAAATTCCGTCTGGGTCATGAATCACATGTCAATCCACAGATGAAAAAGCTTAATTGCGTTTCGGTTTCAATCTGTGGACTTCCGAATATCCAAAGCCAAAATAGGTTGACAGGGCATTTTGTTTAGATGTTATATACTTATAGATGGGGTGTTTTCGCATCAAGCAAACCCATGCTTGATTGTCCTCCTTGATCATAATAAAACTAAACAATAACTTCTAAAATTCTAGTAGATTATAAAGTTATTATATTCCAATGTTTATGGTCTTAGAAATGCTTAGTTATAGTAGAGTAGTAGTACTGCGCTTTAAGGACACTGGGATTTTATATTTAAGGAATATAAGTGCTCAATTCATATTTAATTACAGATGTTAGGCGATTGGTTCGTGGTGGAATACTATGCGAGTGCTGAAGAAGCACTGTCATACAGCTGTATGAGAGCCGTGTTTACGCAGGATGATCATGTGCAAGCTGAAGGTACAAAGAAATACAATGAGAAATCATTAAATACATTATTATAATATGAATTGTACGTTTGACCGCTTCTGTGACTCAAAAATTAAACTGCCTAATGAATTAAATATTGTCTGTAGTTTACGCGAGCAGTACTCATTTTAATAAAACACTTCAACAGTTTAAAACGAGATATATATTAGTAAAACTCATTTGGAAATAATTTGAACTACGATCCGATGTTTTGGGTGCTTTGCAGCAGCCATGGTCACAACTATTCTCATATATCCCGCTATATATTGCGTTTTAAAGCGTTAATGTTTTATTTAAATAGATTAATTGTTTACCGATAAATTTCAAGAAGAGACATCTGTATCTATTTGTAGTAGACTATAGTTATTGTATATGTACATTTGAAAGAGAACATGTTTTATTAAATCCTATAACCGCATAACATGCTTCTCCACAGATGGAACAATAGAGTGGACTCCCGGCGTTACAATGAATTTTACCTACCGCTTCGCTGACGACCCCATTGGAGAAAATTTGTTTGGGAATATCACCTGGAAGGTTGATTTGAATGAGCCCGCACATTGGACACATTCAGAACAAACCTGTGAGTATAGATATGAATAGTCGAGCTCAAAACACAGGTCACAAAGCATTGATATAGGAATCATGTTTCCGAATCATGCTATTCTAAAATTTATATGTGAAAATAATAGTGATGTAAGCTAAGAACGAAAAACAAGGATGGAGTGCTCTCTTTATTTTTTTTCTCATATTATAAATGGTTATTTTGGTCATCCAAATTCGTTTTTGCAAACCCCTTCATCTTTATAAAGTTAAACTATTGACCGCGACGTCGGTCGCGTCCCTTCCCGTCGTTCTTGCAAATTAATCTTAAAAGATAGATATTTTTGATATATTATATATATTTAAATAAAACACTATTAACAGTTTAAAACGCGATATATTAGTTAAACTTATTTGAAAATGATTTTTAACTTCGGCCCGAGTCTCCCCGTGACCACGGCTGCTGCAAAGCATCCGAAACGTCGGGCCGAAGTTAAAAATCATTTTCAAATAAGTTTAACTAATATATCGCGTTTTAAACCGTTAATAGTGTTTTATTTAAATGTGTACTACTCGCGTAAACCATAGACAGTATATATTATATATATATATTTTATATTGAACCCCATAATGATGAATAATTTCCCATTTTTTTTGTATTAGTTAAAGAGTGATTTATAGCTTATAGCCGTCCTCGATAAATGCTCTAACCAACACAAAAAAAAAAAAATTCGAACCCGTAGTTCCCGAGATTAGCGCATACATACAAATAATAAAAACGAATTGCCTCTAGCGGCCTCATATGTAATTCGACTTTTAATTAATCGAGTTTTCATTAAGAATAATGTGGCTAAAAGACATATCTTTTATTTAATTTCAGATGACGGTATTTACAATACGTACGTGCTAGACACAGAATATAAGACGTGGGCACTCCTGCTGCATTGTGCTGAGCAAAGAGAGGGCGCGCGTTACTTGACCGCTTTCGTGCTTTCTAGGACTACGGCTCTGCCCAAAAACGTTATGGCCTACTTGAGAGATAAGCTACCGAGGTTTAAACAACCACATTATTTTTTTAATATACATTTCAGCTGCCATGGATACCACTTAAAAACTCCGTATAAAACCATTTTTCAAGAAAACTTATTTCTTTCGCTATAATTTAATAGAGAGAAGGTGTTTTCAAACACACTAAATCAATTTTGTTAATACTAAAAGTTGTTAAAATGTGTGAATGTTATTTTAAGTTACTCTTTCATGTACAAAAAGTTTATTTTCCTTGAAAACAGAATAAAACTACTTTATGACTTATGATTTCAGATATGATGTAGACATCAACTACGTGTTCCCAATTCCCCATGAGAACTGTTCGGATAAGCCAGCACGTCCTGATGATTCTCCCGTGCTGGTGGAAGTGGGAAGCAAAGTTCCTATGAGACCTAATATCAGTTATAAGATCTCCTACGATACTAATTAATCAATTTGTTTTCTTTTTAAAGCGATGTAGCAAAACATTTTAGAAGTAAACCCCCTTGTACATTCTTTATGTATGTTTTAAAAACCTTTATTTTCAATATGTTCTGGAGATCTGTACATATTTTGATATAAATAAAATTTGATTCAAATAGCTTTTTTACTGTATGTTAGTAATTACTTATTAAAATTGATTTTATGTTATAATGCATAACCGTGTTTTAGTAAAGACATGTTAAATATAACAGTTTATGTCTTAAAAAGAGAAATATCGTACCTGCGCCCGTTAAAACGGGGAATATATTAGTTAATTATTTTATCGACTCGATAAAAACGACAAGTAGATAGTTAAAGTATACTAATACGAAAAAGCAATTCACTTTACATGATATTTTTATATGCTATTGTACATAAATACATCGTATTAATTAAAAATGTATTTGGGAAATAAATATATTAATTAGCACGGAATACTGTGGATTTTGATTCAAGTCTCACCCGTGTTGTCAAGGTTTTTTAATATAAATACATTTTTAATAAAAATTATGTGTGTTATTAATTATTGCAGATACATCTTTTGTACATATATGCTATTTCGAAATCGTATATAACCCTTGGGTTTATACTATAGCGAATAGTTATGTCCTACAAGGTGTAGCCGATAGCGTTTAAACAATATGATTTATAATTAGTATGCTAAAGATGTATGTCCGTACAATGAAAATATATAGGCACGCACCTCTGTATAAACACGTACACTATGACATTCAGACTTGACCGTGTCTAAAACACTTAACAATACATTGAAAATATTTCTTGAAGTTAATTGTTTTAAAGTTTGAACGAATTTGTATGAAGGCAGAGATAATTTCGTAGATACGGCATTCATATCATGTTTGCTTTCGTGTAAGTAAAAAGAAATCCTCTCTGGATTCAGCTTGGTGGAAAAGTTAGTTATCTGTCGCAACTATTAAAGAATTTCAAGAGAACACATCTTTATATAGTTTTGGGTAACTATGACTTTTGCGTTGATTGAAACATCAGAAGTTTATGCAATAAACGTCAAATATAATTCTAAAATTTGGGGGGTGGTAATGGGCTGTTTCATCTCTACCAAGGCCATCTCTTTTAGACAGCACGTAAAAGGAAAATAACGTTAATTAAATTATGGTTAATATGCAGAAGTTGATATCTTTTAATTTAATACTATATATAAAAATATATTTATAATCTTCTTTAAGTCTAACATAGGGACCGTTCAAGTATTACGTAAGCACTATAGGGGGGGTGGGGGGGGTCTTTGTTTTGCTTATTTTAGTAGTAGGGGAGTCCAGGTGATGATTACGTCATCGATATTTATTTACTTTCTGAATCAACTCACTTTCTTATTTTTAAAATAATACTTATAATATAAAAAATAACATTTTTAATTGAAAAATGTTTACGTAAGCACGGGGGAGGGGGTAAAAGCTTTGCTTACTTTTGCTGACAAGGGGGATGGGGGGGTAAATAATTGTAATAAATCTGCTTACGTAATACTTGAACGGCCCCATAATGAAAATTCAGTCCCAAATAATATTGATCCTTTGCACACCTGCCCAATACCATTTTAAACTAGGTATCTTAGTTGTTAAAACATCAAAGTAGACGAGACATCTTGTCCGCGTCTACACTTACCTAGTAGCAGAATTATAATTCACAACGCACCTATTATAATCCAACTAAGTCTGTAGACTTCAGACTATGATAATATCTGATGGCTTATCGTTAACCCATTGTGAGCTTAAATAAAATATATGCAAACAATTTATTACGTTTTTAACTGTATTCAACTTCGTAGGAAGGCGATGGTACAAAAATAAATTTAGTTAATGGAAATCTTGCATAGTTTTAATCTTTGACCAGCGCATATAAGTATCTATATTTCAGGCATTGCGCAAATAGTTATTATATATGTAAGGAAACTCTCAGGTATGTTTTTGTGAAAACCTCAAGAAACATGGGCGCGGCTCGGACGTGCGTGCTTCTAATGTTTATTTTAGTTCAGTTGCAACTAATCAATACACAAGTGAGTGGGTTTATTATTTCAAATGATTTTAGTATTGTTTATTATACTGCAATCCATTTAAATATCTTTTTAATCATTATCCTTTAAAAATATTTTTAAATTCAAGGTGCGTCTTTCACTGTGTTTAAAAGAAACGTAGTCTGTTAGATTCCTGCTCCTGACGGTAGATCATGATAAATTGTTATCTAAAATGTCTAGTCTGTGCAGTACGAAAATAGAAAGATTATTTTGTGAGGAATTTAAAATAATTATTTTCTTAAGTACTGTATGTAATCTACGCGAGTAGTAAGCAATCAAATAAAACACATTCAACGAGAAATGTACTTAGTTAACTTATTTACAATTTATTTTAACTACGGCCCGACATTTCTGATGCAATGCAACCGTGGTCGAATTAATAAAAATAAATTGTAAACAAGCTAACTAATACATTTCGCGAATTAAACCGTTACAAATGTTCAATTTACTTATTGTTTTCTTATTTTAAAACTATCAATACTTCAATTCATGTTAATTTTATCAAGTTATATGTTAAGCCTAATAATATACTAAGCGCAAAAATAATATCACAAGCCCTTGAGGCGTGACCTGATGAAACAACACGGTTTACATCTTAAACAAGACAAAATATTTTCATTCTTCTTCATCTTTAGCCATTTTTGGACTCACTGATTTGTGATATCTTCTGCGATGACGACGATTCTTCCGATTTCTGTGAAGATTGTTCAAGTTCGGAGTCATCGAGCTCGAGCAAACCCAGCGCTAGCTCTGCAGCCAAGAAGCCTTCGCAAAACATTACAATAAAGATCCGTGAGTAATTCAAATAGATCACAATGTTCATATGAATTTGTAGTAATTATTAGACCTCAAAAATATAAGACCTTTTCTTTGTCACAAGACCTACTCTTTCTTGTCTGCGATGTTTTAGTGTTTGGGTGATAAAAATTTAATATCCTCGTAGTTTACGAAAGTAGTACGCATTAAATAAAACAGTTTTAACAGCTTAAAACGTGCAATGTATTAGTAAAAATTATTTAAAAAGTATTTTAACAATAGCCAAACGGCTGCTGCAAAGCATCTGAAAAATAATTTGCAAATTAGTTTAACTGATAATATTCGCGTTTTGAACCGTTAAAAGTGTTGAATGGCATAAATTAGCAAGCTCAGCAGGCAATGTTTTTAGGTAACAATGCAGGGGTGATTATTTGTGATAACTCCAAAGTTGTACTGGTTGATTATGTTAAGATTATAGTACTTAGGGGCCTGTTAAAAGTAATTATAATGACTTAGCTTATTTAATAGTAAAGTTTTATTATCGAATTGCTCAAATTTCTATTTTTTTCTCAACAGCTGCATCGAAAGGTACAATCTTGGACATATTCAATATTAATGGTATATGGTCAGTAAACGTTGACGCTCAGGGTGACAAAGATGATGCATCTTCGGTAACTCCGTCTACATCAACTTCTTCAGCAGCTACAGCATCCACAACCCCAGCAGCCACTACAGCAGCAGCTAGAAGGAAGTAGATTAAGAATAATTTGTTTATGAACAAAACTAAATTTTCATGAGTTTACTGTGTTGTAATCTTTTGTAATATATAAAGCTGAATAGTTTGTTTAAACGCGCTAATGTCAGGAACTACCTGTTCGAATTGAAAAAAAAATCATTTTTGTTGGTTAGAGCAATTATCGTGAAAGGCTATAAAAAATTGCGATGTGACTAATAGGAGCGAAAAAACTGGAAAATGGGGAAAATTAATCATCTTCGTACGCTGCGAAAATTATTCAAGATACACAAAAAATATGCATTCTTCTATAAATTATCAAAAAATGTCCGCGACAGTATATTATGTCTATCTCTTAAGGTGGGACGCGTCCGATGTCGTAGGTAGCAGTTTTCAAAAAAAATTTGGCTGCCCAAAATAACTATTCTACGCAGACAAAGTTGCTGACTTAGCTAGTTAATATTATAAAATTATTGTATCAGAATGGATCGTGTGTTGAGTAAATTTGTTAACGTGTTATATTATTTACTTAACAACAATAACTCTGTACAGTATCCACGTCTTTATACGGTCGTTAAAAGTAATCTAAATGATACAATTATTTAAATAAAGTCGTTTATGATCTTTTTCGACAAATCTTAGTTTTATTTCTCGACACAATAACACACGTAGAGGTTATAAAGTTTTAGGACTTTTATATAGCCAAAAGCGAGATGAAAATATTAATTTCTACTATTTCTCCTTCTCCGTCTTCCTTTTCTTAATAAATGCGTGAGGCATTTGATATAAATAAAATGTTGGATGGACAAAAAATTGCTTTGTCGTTTGCATTTCAAATATCGCATGTAATAAAACATGATGTGTATTAAGGCGCCATCATAGTAATTGTATCTTGATTATTATTATTTTTTTGGCAATTTGTTTAAATACTATGTATATATACTATGGTTTTGACGACCTCGTTTTTTAAAAATCGAAAATAAATTGAAAAAATTTTCGACTCGGTCAGGACAATCGAAATTTTTTTCAATTTATTTTCGATTTTTAAATTATATAGTGCCTTCATGTGAAAAATATTAATGTTTTCAGACCTCGTTTTTGTAATGACTTGACGGGTCCATGTTCCTTATCAAATTAAAAAAATTCTGAAACAAGTTGGAATTGCTCCGAAAATCTGGATATTAAATGGTAATATAATAATGGTAGGAATATCTAGATTCTGTCGATCGTCACAACGATTTCAATTTTTCAGTCTGTGGATTCTTTTATATTGAAGTCCAAAAGTGTTTAAAGCCAAAAGAAGTTGACAGCACATCTTGTTTAGAGTTTTTATGGTTGAGGTATTTCATATACCACCGTGAGGTGCTTATCTTTTTTTCTTTTATCATATAAAAATCGTACTGATACTGCCTAATATTTTATTACATTTATAACTACACATAACAATTTATCTATATATATAAAAGTCTCTCATCAAAGAAAGATACTTGGTACTTGGTAGCTTCTTATGCATTCGCCTTAATTGAGTCAGTGCATGTGACTCACAATCGTTTTCACTTACATTCGGAGTGCAGTTTGGAATTAGGAACATTAATTATTTATTATGAACATCGTCGTGCATATGGCGCCAATAATGTTTTTGCTCTTGATTTAATGAGCTCCGTTTTGTTTATGCACTAATAGAGTTTTGTGACAGAGTGAGAGAAACGAACAGATTAAAAATATGATTTTATACATTACATAGCAGTGTCCGCGACTATGTCCGCGTGGAGTTTTGGGCATCAAAAATTACTTTGAAAACAACCTCCACAGCTTAATATATTAGAGCTGTTACTCACGACGTCGTTTGAGTCCCGTCGTTCTCGCGAGTGATTCTAGAAAAAATAGGCGCATTATACCATCGCGGACATTTTAAAACTATTTAAAGAACAACCATACATGTTTTTTGCTTTCTGGAACGGTTTTCACAGCGCACGCAATGGAAGGCCTTCAATATTAATATATTAATAATTTTTTGAATTTTTCCACATTTCCCACTGTTTTCACTCCTACTAGTGGCAGCTTGATGTTTTATAACTTAAAGCCTTCCTTGAAAAGTGGCCCAACCAACAGAAAGATATTTTTTAAATTCGAGCCACTAGTTCTGATTCCGCAAAAGTTGTTTACTTGTTTGCAAATATTATTATGTTGATACAACCCTATTCAATAATTGGTAATGCATTAATTTCGCCGAAGACCATAAATACGGTTCGTGCGAGATAATCTTAAAAGATAGACATTTACTGTCGCGGGCATATTTTTAGATTATGAAAGAGGAATCATTATAGGTAGGAGGTATAGATGTAATAATTGGTTTTTAGAACTATAAATTTACTTATGTATTTCAAATGTAGTGTTAAATAAGCAATGTGTTGAGAGCTTACGTTTTATTTCCTTTTATTATTTTATTGTACAATTTTCAACTTGTTACATTAAGCTTTGTTAATAATTTGTTTTCAGATAAGACATAAAAAAACTGAATTTAATTTAATGATAGACTATTGGAAGTGGATAATATATTTTTTTATTGAATAATAAACATGAATTAATTCGAAAATTAAAATAACAACACAAATTCCTTCTCGCTTGACATATAGACCAACACGTTTGATAGTCTATAACACTTGTTCTATAAAACAGACACAAGTATGTGTCTACTCTTATGTCCGGCTAAAGAGTATTTCACAAATATAAACACACTTTAATAGCTGCAACGTATTTAATTTAACCAATTAGTTTGTGGTCACATATTTAACAAATCGTAAAAATGCGAACTCAATACTCGAAATAAATTAGTTAATTTGTTTTTTAGCTAAAAGTGTTTGTGAATAAGTCACGACTTACCAACTTACAACACAATACCTTTAACAATGTAAGTCCTACTATGTATAAAAGGTAAAAACACAACACATGTGGCATATTAATTCGGTTAGATTTCAGCGAATCGGAACAAAAATCGATCTCATTAGCTTTTCTCCGTTCGTGAGAAAAAGTGAAGATTTATCGTTCACAATGAAGCTGGGGTATCAACGACCGAATGATTGCTTCTCTGCCATGCGCCGGATGCCCTTCAAGAGCTTAATTAGTGCTTCTGTGGTGCATGCGCCGGAGTGTGTGTTAACTATCGATGGTGTTTATTGATACCGACAGAGCCTGATTTATGTTCGCTTTGAAAAGGATAATTTGTAGAGGTCGATTTTATCTTTCCGAGTTATTCGCTTTTTGTTTATATGAGGGGATCGTTAAGATTAGAAGGTTTAATAAGAAACAAATAAATTTGTTTTTTATGAAATGACTATTCAGATTAATGAAGTAGAAGCATTTATGTATTAAATACTTATTATTTGAATGTTTATTGGTTATTCCTACATTTAAATAATACATACATGGTTTAAAAATACTTAAAAGTAAACAAGCAAAATTTTGATTTTTTACACCTAATTTAAACAACTAACATAACGACAAAAGGCAAATAATTAATTCAAAAATGACATTTTGAATTTTTTATATATTTAGATTTGACACAATTTGTTTATTTGATATTCCTAACGCTTGATAATACATATTATACGGTTTAAATTATTTGAAACTCATCATAAGCTGATAACGTATGACACAATAATATATAAAAACACATAGGTAAAATTAAGACTTACAAAAAAAATCATTACAGTGACTAAATTTAAACAACTGATCAATTAATTGCAAGATTAAATGGGAAAGATAATTTAGAAAGTAATTATATATAATTAACAATGAAATACCTTTTCTAAAAGGAGTTTGATATAAAAGTATAATGTGTCTTTACTCAATATAAAAAATCGATACATAGGAATAAAGAGCTCCATACCGCCAACATGAACTAACTAACAGGAAGACGTGCATTTTTTAATTAGGAAACAGTTCGAGTAAAAGCAACCTTCCGTCATCGGCGCAGACAGGAAAGTACAGTGATGAGTATTAATGAAGTTAAGGCGCGGGAAGGTATGCGTACGCGCAACTCAGTGTTGCCGCGCGTTTCGAACGGTGCATACGCATAGTCCTCCGTCAAGGCACGGGTCGATGACACTCGTGCGACATGCGAGTTTTCATTGATACGAGAAAATTTTCATAAATTTTGTGCTTACCTGATGAGGTGAATGATTTTGTGAACGAAGCATGTCTTATTAAGACGATTTAAGCTTTTGTTTTTTCGATAGGACTCATCTAAACAATGCTTAAATGGGATTTAATGTTTTTTACAACAATTTAATACAGTAATTTTTAATTAGAAATAATAATAGTCTGTATTTTTTTATATTAATGATTGGCATAAGAAAAATATACTTACATAACATTTCTCATAAAAAATGTGATTCTTAGGAAATGACAGCCACTTAAAAGGAAAATTAATCATATTTAAACATTTTGAAGTTGTAATATTTAAAGAAATAAACTTTGTTTAAAAAATTAGGAAAAAGACACTTACTTTGTTAATATAACTATCAATACTATATAATGTAAAAAATATATATAAATCTCTTCGGCGGCTATATATCAATAGTTAAACATGTGATAAACCCAATATGCACTTTTCCAGATGTTAGAAAAATACGTTTGAAACATCAAAATAATAATGAAATCGATTATTTTGGTACTTATCGCTATCAGTTTTGCGCCTGCTGTGATATCGAAAGGTGGTAGATATTCTAGACTCCAAACGGATCCCCTTTCGAAGACAAGATGTGATTTAATATGTCTTGATGCAAGCAAGGAGACCAAAACGAAGGTAAATTAGATCAGGAACTAATTAATTATTGAAATAAGCTTATGCGTAAACTAAATTTCCCTAAAGTTCCCATCTTGATTGGACCGCTTTAATCCTTTAGCTGTAAAATGCCTAGAATGGTATTAAACAAGCAAGGATTTGAGTAAGATTCGCGAGGAATCGCAGAAACAATTTTCGGTCAGGTAGAGGACAGATAGTCACATTGCATGTAAATGAAATCGATCACTGTAACTGAAATGTTTTATTTGCACTTATTTAAGACAACAAGGTTAATGATAACCCCTTAGAGATGTTGAGAGATGTCATTATAAGTATTGAAATAAAAACTATTTTAATATACTTTAAAATTAGTGTTCTAATAGTTGTTTAAAACTTAAGTCGTTTGTATCTACAAACATCTATGGTGTAACTTAAATTTACGCAATTAGTTAGCTTAAATTAATTATCTCATTATAAAAATGTTATAACAACTGCATGCTACAAATAAGATGAATATTGTATTGCAAACTCTTCTCTATATAAGTTTGGGTATTTTGTTTGTTTGACACTTTTAATGATTTCATATCAATAAAACAATGAAGTATCCGGTAGCAGTCAAGTTTCAATTTCTTCAAATTTAAACGAATCATTTTGAGAACGTAGCGTTTGGTACCTTCGTTAATATGTTTAGAAGAAAATTAAATAGTTAAAAATCGATTGTAAATTGAAAAAAATTAGACACGGGCAAGACTAGAACCGGCATCTGTGTACCGTGCTGTTGCTCTAACGAATTGAGTCACCGTGTCCTGAATCAATTGGTTACAGACACACACAGCACGGAACGCTGACGATGCCGGTTCAAGTCCTGCCCGAGTCGAAAATATTTTTCAATTTTTTTTCGATTTTTAAATCATATAGTGATATCATATGAAAAATATATAAAGTTTTCAACTATTAATTAGTATAGTAATTAGTAGTATGAAATAACAGTCGGAAGTTATTAGCCCATCAATTTCTTCGTCTATATTATTTCCAACCCATCATTTACCTCCCTACTGCTAATTACACTTATAGTTATGATGCAAATTACAAGCTTAAACTCTATTACACCTGAGTGGGTGGGCTTATTCATAATATTTGTTTTACATACTTGGTCATTAAAATGCTTCTTGACGTAATTCGCGCGAAAACACGCTTTTAGCTTTTTAAACTTTTACGATCCATTACCAATGAAGTTGAACATTCGTGTACAAGTATTTAATTTAGATACATTTAACGACAAAGTATTTTTTAAATAAAACACTTTAACGGTTTAATAATTTTTAACTTCGGCCCGGGGAGACCCCCCGTGACCACGGCTACTGCAAAGCATCCGAAACGTCGGGCCGAAGTTAAAAATCATTTTCAAATAAGTTTAACTAATATATCGCGTTTTAAACCGTTAAAGTGTTTTATTTAAATGTGTACTACTCGCGTAAACTATAGACAGTATTTGACAAAGTACTTATTTCTGATTTAATGCGTGAACGTAAGTTGTTACTATAATGAGTAAAATTTAGTTTACTTTACGGCACCCGCTCCGAAAAACTAAACTTTCATGGAAATAGCTAAAGAAATCAATTTTTAAATATAGAATAAAGAAACTCTTAAATTATGAATTTAGTCTTTTATATTTTTTTAACAGAATTTGTCAATTGGCAACTATCTCATTTGAGGGTTACTGAGAAACTTTCCTTTTCTGCATAAGATAGTTAAATGCTCTGGTTTCTCAGTACACCAGTCTTTCCACATTATAGAGAATCCCTTATTTCCATATGCTAATAACCAACTAAATACACTAACTCCATAACGGTATAAGAGAGAACCTATTATTTGAAATGGAAAATTAGCAACTATACACTAGCAAATATTATGGCGTACCACAGTGGCGTACCAACCAATTTGTTAGCTTATTAATTAGAAATACTCCTACGCAAGTTATAACTTAGAAATATTAACAAAGATTAACTAAAAATCCTTTTAAAACTTAACTTTTTGTTGTATCCTGAGAACATAGAGGTTAAAATACATTTTTTTTTAAAGTCAAAAGACTTGTATTGGTTGCTCCTTGTATCAAAAGAAAAGGAGTGAAATTTAAAAATCATAATTTAATTACAAACGCAATTATGAATTTTAAATTCCGAACATCCAAAGCCAAAATAGGTCGATAGCGTATCTTCTTCAGTTGTGTAACGCCAGCTTGTCTGTTTTTCTCTATATAAAAAAAACGGTTTTCTCCGCTTTTTAATTGCAGTGCCGAGCAGAATGCCGGGCCAGGGAACAAAAGCCTGGTACTTGTCCTAAATCAGACAATCCTCGTTGGCTAGCCGCGTGTCTGGAGGCTTGTAACCAGGACTCGCAGTGTCCCGGGACTCAACGTTGCTGCAAAATTGGCTGCAGTGCTGCTTGCAATGAACCACTCGACTTGCACACTATTCCAGGTAATCATAACAAATCCATTATTATAAAACTTCGCAGATAATTACGTTGTGCCTACTTGGTCTGATAGAATTTTTTTCAAGTTGTTGGTCAAAAGTTGAACGAACGAATTTGAACGAAGTTGAATGAACGAGTTGAAAGTTTCCTACCTAATTGGTCTAAAACTGTTGGTAACCATAGTTTAATATTTTTAAACGTTAACCCAGTTCATACCATGAATATTGAATGAGATCTAAACTTACAAAGACGTGACCAAAAACTGTCCGCAAATAAAGAGCCACGAAGTTTTAGGTGTGAATAAGTTTCAGATAGAGATTTTCAGACAAAATATAAAATATTATAAATTAGAATGTAGTTCACCCTTCTGCGGTTGTCCTAATCTGTCATAAAAACGTCTCTTATGTGCACATCGAGTTTCTCTTTGCAAGATGAAATCGTGGGAAAGTTAATTCTATATATTTTCTTATAAAAAATAAAACAATACCCTTTGTGATATTTCTTTATGGTGTTAAACAAGCACTAGATTGCATTGATTTCATCTTAGTATATTTCATAAATTGTCAAAAAGAAACATCGATGGTTAAACAAGTTTTGAAGTAGATATCATACTCGTCACCTAGTTCTATATTAATATTATATACATCTTTAAGATTAAACTAAGTATAACCAAATAAAAATGTCCATACTAACTAATAAATTTCCATGACTAAATCATTTTTTCTGTTTTTCTTAAAGTTTGAACTCGGGACAAGCGTCTAATATTTGTAATTGTCTGATATTATTATAGGTCTTCCTGCTTTACCAAGAATGGAAGAAGCAAAAGAAAGACGACGATCGGTCCTCGTGAAATGGTCAGACGGAGTAGGGGACGCAGCCAGAGCTGTCCCGGGTAGAGTCCTCTATCTTCTAGAAGAGCAACATCACCTCGGACCTAAATATGAAGAAGCAAGATTAGGAGACTGGAACCTAATATCCAGAACAAACAAGTATGTAAATTAATTACCAATCAATATCAATTTCGATAATATTTATTCGTTTCGAAAGAAATAGATTAAAGCAGATAAAATCTATAGGTTAATGAACACTGTGTCCATATTTGCGGTCTCTTCGTGAGTTGCAAAACCAAATATTGTTAACAATGAATATAATAAAGACTCCGATTAACAAGTTTTTATCTAAGACGTATAAATTATTAAATAACAAGGGACTAACATGCAACAATTGTAATATCGAATCATCACTTAAGCGGGCATTACCATCAGTGATCATGCATTACCTAAGACAAGTGATGAAGTGCTCTACATGTCAATATGTAACCATTAACGGATACGAAGTGTCTTGCAAAACTTAAATAAACAGGACAATATTAATAAAACTATATGTGAAATATTTAAAGATAATATAAAACGCTAGTAATAACATTTAGATTAAAAGTAATTTGTAAATTTGTTGCCATGTTCGTTTTTTCTTTTTATATTCTATTATTCATTTTTAATTGACAATATTATCACTTATTTAAAAATCATGAGCAAGTATTAATTTGAAACGTATTGTAGTACTTCATATTTTTTATTTCAATTTATTATTTAAGACATCTAACTTAGTTTTAAAAAGCGGATGCATTTTATTAACAAGATCATATTTTGTATTCAATCATAAACGTAGTATATTTTATAGAACACATAAAATGATAAGTTCATAGAAAAATCTATATCCATTTACAACATTGTCATACAATATTATTATGCCACCAACGTATCATCTTCGTATCAGCGAATACAGATAGCAAATATACAGAGGAAATCACATTATATAAATTCTTAGATAAAGATCGATAATATTTAATAAATCACTGAGAAATAAATAGATAAGTTATAATAATGATAAGATCGCTGTTGTAAAGGCATTAGAGAGCACAGTTTATAAACGAACAAATTATAATGATTACAGAAAGATAGAAATATTTCTTCGATATAAGAAACTTTTATTGCAAAATTTTAAGTAACTTATTTCACCAATTGAATTGTAAGGAAATAAGTAGTAGTAAAAAGGAACTACAAAAATGTATGTAAAAATATTATTACGATAGATACCATATGTATAAGATATTACTACTAATACATTTTGTAGACAAGTCTGCAGATGAACACTATTAACATTTTTAAGGTATGCTTACTACGCAAGCTATCTTACATTGTAAGGCTTGCAAGGACATAAATAAGACTCGTAAAGCCATAACAGACGGCGTGGTACGCCAGTTCCGGCACAGACACTTGAATCGGCAATCGAACCCGGAACCCGTTTCAAATATTACGTTATATTTTTTCGATCTCCTTTGTTTGCAGAGATCAGTGAGATAAGACTTTAATTTATAGAACATGCATCTTAAAATAGAATAGTACTGAGCTATCAATACACTTAATATCAGCGATTCGTAATCTTGATATATAAATTCACGTGTTGCTGTTTCTTACCAAACTCAACTGTTTAAACAACGTTGTACCCGGTCAGCTTATTAATAATAATCTTATTTATCAGGATCATGGTTTATTACCAACAGTTAATAGTTTATTTTAAATTAAAACAGCGTCCACAAAAAACTTTGTACGCCATTATAAAGTACTACATAGTACCACTTATTCTAATTAATCATTTTTTGTGAATCCACGGGAAACAAGTAGATTTATATTCTATTTCAAGTAATATGACTGATATTTTTCTCAAATGACATTTATTGTGTAATGCCCAGTGATAGGTATCGTAACTAGTTGGAGCATTTTAACGGCTACAGCTTCTAAATTAGTGTTGATAAACGGAACCGATGGCTTAACGTTCTTTTCGAGACCCAGGGGTAAAGACACCTACTTTCACTTTTGTTATTTTTAGTAGAGTCCTCTAACCAGTAGACCAACGAGGCAGTGCTGGATATATCCTTTTTTTACAGGAGGACAATCAAGCATGAGGTATAACTGGTGTTAGGTGTAATACAACAGCCATATAACATTTAAACAACTAAACATCTAAACGCGCTGTTAACCAATTTTGGCTTTGATTATTCGAACACAGACTGATATCGAAACGCGATTAAAATTGACGGTCCTTTCATCTGTGGACGGTAGTTCATGAACCGGACGGAATTTTCGTTATACCTACCACCCATTTAATATTTACAATTCCGGACGAAGTATGATAATTCTACTACTATAATAATCAGTTAAACAAAGAAATTAATTACGATAATGGATAAGCTTGCGTTTCTTCACAACTAGAAGCGCCTACAATATTCATTTCATATTTTAATTAGCTCGCTTTCCTAGTGGTTTTCCGCATCGCGTGAAAACATTTTAATGTTGCGAAACGTACAATTGCATCATTTATTAAAGCATTAATATGGTCATAATTAATTACTGTTTGCTTTGTACTTTTACTCCGTCTATTGGTTCCTATTATTGTTTCTGTCTATCCTTCCTAACGATGTTTTTGTTCGATACAAATGACTGTCAATCAAATTTTCGGCAGTCTTAATTCGTTTTCTACAGAATCTTTTACCTGTGCGGACCTTTTGTTTACATCCCACGGGGTTTCTCTTTATATCAACCCAATTATCAATCGGTGAGGGCTTCGAAATCAAGTTTTTATAAAGTTCAAAGCAAATAATACGATCTTATCTGTGGCATTTATAGTTCTCCTCAGTGTAATAATCATTTCTTATCATTCACAATAATGGCTTAAGTAAAAAACCACTTAATCATTTAGCATAGAAATAAAAGCGGAAAGTTTATGATTGATTGAGTTTATGGATTGTGGAGCACTTTGGAGAAACCTTTTGTATGGCACCGAGTGGCATTTAAATAAAACATTTTAACAGTTTAAAGCGAAAAAAACTACGGTCCAACGTTTCGGATGCTTTGCAGCAATGGGGGTCAAGTGGGTGCTGCTGCTGCAGTTAACATATATTTCGCATTTTAAGCCATTGTTTCATTTAAAACTCTGCATAGTAAGTAAGACTGTATTTAATATAAAGTGTCTTAGTCTTATAAATCCTTGCAATTGGCGTTGTTTTTGGCGCCCAAAAAAATATTTCTTGAAGGATTTCTATAAAAAGATAAATAAATTAAATAATTTAAATGTGTACTACTCGTGTAAACCACCAACAGTACTTAACCTGTGGGAATATTTTATGTTATTATATTACTTACTACAAGTACCCGCATTATTTGACATAAGTAACTCAGAAGATCTTTTAGGGGTGTGTTGTAGGTAAAAAAATGCATGCCTAAAGGTATAATGAGTACTAATCTATTTTTTTTTGTACCAGAACAAAAGTATCCCTAAGGAACCTGTTGAAGCCGGGACGTTGGTACCGATTCCGTGTGGCTGCTGTTAGCGCGACGGGCACGCGAGGATTTTCGGAGCCGAGCCCACCATTTACTCCACGCAAGGGTCCCAGACCTCCGCCTGCACCGAAAAAGTTGAAAGTTAAACCAGTTCGCTCTCAAAACGGTGAGATTAGCTTAAGTATCTTTCGAATAGATTCGAATAAATTGTTTCATTGAAATTTATTCTCTACAATAAATCAATCGACGGACGTATCTAAAATTTATTCTTCTTCTTCTATCTTGATGGTACGTGAAATACGCCATATAGCATCTAAACAAGATACGCTGTCAACCTACTTTGGCTTTGGATATTCGGAAATCCACAGACTGAAACCGAAACGTTTTTTATCTGTGTTTCGATTATTTCTACTCAGTCTATAATTTTTCTACCCAGTAGGGATCTAACTTACGACGTTATTTTTAACCATAAATCGCTAACATTACACCCACGAAAGCCACCCGAAGTTTTAAACAGATTGTTAGAAGGCTTCACTTTGAAAGGATTAGAAGATAGTTTAACTTATAAGAGCTTTTTTCCAGGCACGGTAACTGTAAGGTTGGAATGGAAAGAACCACGATCTGATTTACCAGTAATGAAATATAAAGTATTCTGGAGTCGTCGTGTTCGTGGCTTAGGTGGCGAACTGGATTCGGTTCTCGTCAATCACCAAACTGTTCCTAAGGTAACATTATAGATTTCAAAGTTTCTCTAAATGTGTAAAAAACTATAATGTATAGTTTATATAAACATATGTAATTTTTAAAACGCGGGATATATTAAATACTTATTTTTAATTTGTTTTCACTACGGTCCAACGATTCTTATGCTTCGCTTGAGACGTGGTCACGAGAGGTAAACGTTTACTAATATATTTCGCGTTTTAAACGGTTAATAGTGTTTTATTTAACTTATGTACTACTGGTGTAAACGACAATATGATATTTTATAAACATATTAACATTTTTCTCATAATATACTATTATTTCAGGATCAGCACTCAGTCGACATTGGTGATTTACAACCAAACTCACTTTACTTCCTCCAAGTTCAAACTATAAGCCTATTCGGTCTTGGAAAGCTTCGAAGTGAAAAAGCGGCCATTTTTTACAACACCACTAACAGCGTGGAAGGTAAACAAGTATAATTTATTCAACCGCAAGTTAAAATATGGGTTAATAGCCTAGCATTTAAACTCTTTGTAATTGTTTAATCAGAAAGCAAAAAGTGCAACAATACTGTATTGTGAATAAACGGCTTTTGAAATGCTAGTAATAACTGCGAAATAAATTGCGCTGTAATGTTCTCTGTTTTATAGTAATATTAGACAGAGTACACAGAAACATTAGCTCGTTTCTTTAAACGAACTTTGAAGTTACTTAAACGTTTGAAAGATAATTCAGAGTTATAGAAATCTAGCTGCGCCCGCGACATCGACCGCGCGGAGTAGTTATTTTGGGCATCGTATTATTGATTTATGCAAACAATCTCCTCAGCTGCTTAAATTATAGTCCCGTCGTTCTTGCGAGTTAATTATAAAAGACATGTCGCAGACATTTTTTTAGATCAGTAAAAGAAGAATCATTCTTTCATACATATTATTTTGGTTTCTTAAACCGTTTCGCAGCGCACGCAACGGTAGGCCACAAATATAAATACGTTTCCCCGTTTTTTCAACATTTGACTCTGTATCTCCGGTTCCATTGGTCGCAGCGGGATGTTAAATCAAACTAACCAAAAACTCAAATACAGTATATATATTTTCCTTCCCCAGAAAGTAGCGTGTTATATAAAAAACTGCAACAGTAGACTAATAAAGAAGAGCTAAGCCCGTTGGTACAAAAGACTAACTATTAATGAAAATAAAATTATTTATTGACTGGCAGATCGTCCGCCGGAATCTCTTCAAAAACGTAAGGATGACAAGAAAATAAGAGCTATAAGACTGAATAGATTTCTTTGGGAAGATCATAAAGTAAAAGCAAGAATCACATGGCAACCCGGAGCATCTAAAGATAAGCAGCCTAAAAGGTATTTTTCATTGGTTACATCTATTATTGTACAAAAAGCAATGTAGGTGAACTAGAAAATTATAGAACGGCGTCGTGTGTGTATTGTTTTATGAAAGGTAATGGGACAATTTTCTGGGACAAAAGCTGGTTTCTCGGTCATAAAATAAGAAGCAAGCATTAAAATCAAAATGGCGTTTATTAAAATACGTTTTTATTACTCTTTCCTTAAAATTGTTACCTAGATATCTTACATGTAAATACTATCAGTAGTTAACGCGAGTAGGACACATGTAAATAAAACACTTTAACGGTTTAATTTGCGTGTTATTAGTTTAACTATGTAATTTGAAAATTATTTTAACTACGGTCCGACTTTTGCGATTAGCAGCAGCCGTGGTCTCCCTATGACCAAACAAAAGGTCTTATCATTCATATATTTAATCACATAAACAAAACTTAACCAAATAAATTGGTTTTATACCTCTATTATTTTTTTGTATGTCTGCAAATGCTTTACAATAAAGATAACATTATTGCTTTACGACTTTTAACCTTATACCTTTTCAGATTTTATATCCACTGGAGAACTTTTAAATGTCACCACCCGATTAAAGAAGATAAAACGCTATCAGCCATTACAGAGGTCTGTACAAAATACTACAGGATAAAAATATATATTTTCTTTTTTTATACTTATTGAAAGATATGTAAATTAAGAGAAACTATTCGATGACACTACAATTTACCCTTGTGGGCTACACTGATATGCCCTGTAGCGTTTTACGTGTGTCTCAGAAACTACTAAGTAGTCGGATATGAAAAATTATATTAGTGTGGTCTGTTTATCTTGGCACAGTTTTCGCACTGCAACGAGGTTGAGAATCACGTTTAACGTATTTATTACAAACAAAAGGAAATTTATTCATTCTTAGAATTTAATGTTTATGTTATAAAAATAGCTTAGACTACTGTTAGTACAAATGATAGCAACGAAGAGGACTGCCTGTTAGTATATCTATGTGGCGTGTATAGTTTACTCGATTAGAACACAGTTAAAGAAAACAATTTTAACAGTTTAAAATTCGATATATAATAGTTAACAGTTTATTTTAACTAAATCAAATCTGCTATTTGAAATTAGAGACATCTTTCGCTTTCAGTTTCTCCATGGCCATAATAGTTACAAAGTACCCGAAACGTCAGGCCATCATTAAAAAAAGAAATATATTTCGCGTTTTAAACCGTTAAGAATGTTTTATACCTAACTAACCTAACTAAGTATGTATATAGGTAAGTCGATGCTATTTCAATTAGCAGTGGAAAATATGCTTAGGTACTCTGAACAAATCCAGGTCACAGTCGCTTCGGACACTAATTAAAAATTTCTTTTCCAGCAAACATCATTTGAACTCTACGAGCTGGACTACCATTGCAGTTATAAAGTTAATGTGAATGCCTCCGGAGATACTATCGCACCGGATTCCGAATACATTCTCACTGTACCATCTTGTGAATATTTCCAAAGAAAAATAAACGCGACTATACATTGTAAGACTTAATACTATAATAAAATGTTAAGCATATTTAGTTAAATAAAAAATATAGAACTCATACTAAAAAAAAATAATTGCTAAGTATTTTAATAAAAGTGACTCAAGCTAATTGTCCAATTGATCTTAATTACAAACTTAAGGATACAATAATTAAAGGTACGCATGGTACCTGAATTAATTTTTTAAGTTTTTCATGAATTATTTATTGTAAAAATATCTTTCTTATGAAGATTATATTATAACTTTGTAACCATCCATTGTTTTTCTTTTTATTCGTACGTATAACGCGGTAATCATAAATTTATGGTTATGAACAATTTTTACCCATTCTATAGACTTTGTTTTCAATGTATGTTGTGTACAATATTCTAGAGCAGTCTACAGCATAATAATAATCGTATAGGAATACATAAAAATACATTATTAAATTTTTTTAAATAAGATATAATATCATCAATAACCGGGTGCTTAAAACTAAGTACTAAAACACGATACGCCTGTAAACTGTTTTCAGCTATTCTTCTATATTAAGTGCTCCCACGAAAGAATTTTAAGCTTAAAAAAAAACGAAAGTGTATCGTCTACATCTACAAGCTTCTAAATATTTGGAAGGGCGGCCGACCCGTTTGCCGCGTCCCGCACAAAAGAGGGGAGCCAACATTAGAAAATCATGATATTTTTTTCGAACCATTTAAAATAACTATAATATTTTTTGATTTCGATTAAACTTATATGTTTGTTAAATAGTTAAACGATCTATTTGGTTTTACGATATATTATATTTTTTTGAAACCTCTGCTGAGATTAATTGTTATTTTATTGAAATATATTTTGGATACAAGGGGTCTGTACTTCGATGTCACCGAGGCCTAAAGAGCTCTTAACACAGACCTGAATGATTTACCTGGAAAGTTCTTTAGGAGTATGGAAATTGGTTAATTTTATAGAATTCTATTCGTTTTTTATAAATTTAAATTTTGCCAATTAAAGATAGATAACTATTTTTTTTTATGTTAAACAAGTATTTTTTTTTAAATAAAATTGCTAGGCTTACTCTACAATCTAATTAACATAATATTATTCTCTACAGAACACACATGCTTCAGTTATATTAAATTCTATTATAAACCGAAAGTCATATTCGATTTTACAACACAGCTCTAAAAATCTAAATAATAGTAGTCGCAGTTAGGACAACAAAGTACAATAAATTTTACAGCTTATAGCTAATAAAAATTCTAAAATTCAAAAATGCATTTTAGAAAACTAATTTCGGAAGCCTGTAAAATGACAAGAACGTTTGATTCAAAAATCGGCAACGAATCGATTTAACCGAACTTTGGTTAGAACATCCCTAAACCGATGCCGAGGATGCAGACAGTAAATGTCAAAGAATCTAAATAGAAAATAGTGGAAAATGAAAATTTTTGAATGGTTGTATAATTTTAACGTAACTTATGTACCTTTAATGTAAAAACCTTTACAAAATTTAGAAAAAATATTTTTTCGCTTATTGACGCACTAGTTCTATTTATAAATGTAAAAGTGTTCAGTTTTAATGAGCAAATATCAATACATTATAGTGTTGGATTGTATTTTTTTCCAATAACTTATTGCCAAGATAATTTTCGAATATTTACTAGTTTTCTCAAGAAACAATTATACAATATTTCTAATAATTATTTGTGTCCAAGTTTTACTCAGATAGTGTCCTTGTAAGTTTTGATCCTTGGAAAATGTCTCTGGGCGTAACCTCGGGTTGAAGGCTGTGCGATCCGCGAAAATGTTATTTTTCTCGTTTTTCTAAAACGTTGTGAATTAAGTATTTAGTCAACATGGCTGAGGATGAGGTGCTTTTTGATGATGTGTATGAACTTTGTGAAATCATTGGCAAGTAAGTAGAATAATTTGAAATTTATCTTTCTATTAAACCATGGTCTGTTTTATTATTCATACAGTTACTTGTATATTACTATTTGTAACTAAATGATTTGCCATTATAACAATTAAATCATAATTATTTTAGACTAATATTGAATTCTCTACTTTGAAATATGATTGTGTATTCAAGAGACTCCAATGCTTATAACAAAATTTTTATATTAGTAACAATAGTCATTAGTATTACAGTCATACATTTTTAAATTGATAACTGCATTTTAAAGATTTCTCTACTGACAAGTGATTTAATTTACTTTAAAGAAAACCTACATTATATTTACTATACAAAAATTATCTGTATGCTTAGATTGTCTTAAGAATATTGTTAGTCTTCATTCATTTGTGAGAAGTATAAATAAAAATAAATAAAGTAATATAATAATAAGTAAATTCCTCAATTGTCTCAGGGGGCCGTTCAGTCTTGTACGTAGATGTGTGCATAGACAGACAGGTCAGCAGTTTGCTGTGAAAATAGTTGATGTTGCCAGGTTTACAGCTAGTCCTGGTTTGAGCACTGCAGGTCTGTGTATATAGTTATTGCATCCTTTATTATCCATTATTACTGATGTAGATTGTATATGTAAGACCAAAACAAAATAAAATGTGATGAATCAAATTACATGTTAAATTGTCCATTCTTCATTGTATCTTATTGAATGAGCTTCAAGAGCAGTTTTTTAATAGGATTATATTCTATGCATCTTAATGACATTAAATTAGTAGTTGGGACCTAGCTTATATGGTGTCATTAGAGAATTGGAGATATTTCTCGTTAAAAAAAATTGTTTCATTGGAACAATACTGATGACAAAATTTTTTAATACAGCTGAAGTTAAAAGCTATTAACAATTTTTATATACCACTTTAAATTTTTTGTTTTTTTCAACACTAATCAAGATAATGGGTTACTTAAATTAAGAATTAATTACAGATTTAAAACGTGAGGCTACAATATGCCACATGTTAAAGCATCCACACATCGTGGAACTACTGGAGACCTACAGTTCCGAAGGGATGCTTTACATGGTGTTTGAGTAGTGAGTATTAATTTTAATATTTCTTCATATGACCTTTTTGTAGTCTAAATCCATCTCTACAATATAGCAGAAATTTATATTAAAGAATTAACGAAAACATACTAACATTTGAAGATTGATACATTGAGAGACAAATAACGCAATGTTCTCCATGAACGGGGAGTGCTAGAAATGATCAGGAGATTATGTGAACCAGCCATATTGGTGTCCCCATAGAAAATAATAAATAATAATTAAATCTGCTTCATCATTGTATATTGTTTTAAATATATTTTCAGTATGGACGGTTCTGACCTTTGCTTTGAAGTAGTTAGAAGAGCAACTGCTGGATTTGTCTACAGTGAAGCTGTTGCATGGTGAGTATTTTATAACCATCAATGAAAGCTTCTTATACCAAATGATTATAATCTTAAAGCTATCTTTGGATTTACAATGTTACCATTTATCTTTCACTTGTATTTAAAGATATCTGTACCCGTAATATACAAAATGCTTCTGATCAAATTGTTGTCTTTTCTTAGGTACAAGGAATCCTGGGTTTGATTTTTGAGATAACTTACAACATTAATAGAAAAAATGTTTCAGATTGTTAGGACAGAGAAATTGAACGAAGAATAAATTTATCAATAAGAAACACTTCAATGTGTCTGTCACATATTTTAAAAGTTATTGTATCATAAAAGTTAAATAGTTATGTAATTTTATTGCTCCATGTACTTCCCCAGTTTTGTTAACTTAAATAACAATTCATATTCTTATGTGTTTAAATAAAACACTAACCGTGCACGGGGAGACACCCCGTGACCACGGCTGCTGCAAAGCATCCGAAACGTCGGGCCGAAGTTAAAAATCATTTTCAAATAAGTTTAACTAATATATCGCGTTTAAAACCGTTAAAGTGTTATAGACAGTATATATTCTTATGTGTTTTAATTTAATTTTTTTTTTACAAATTTCAGCCACTACATGCGCCAGATACTGGAAGCACTCCGCTACTGCCATGAAAATGATATAGTCCATCGAGATGTTAGGCCCCATTGCGTTCTTCTTGCTGGGCGGGACAATTGCGCCCCGGTTAAGCTTGGTGGTTTTGGTGTAGCTGCTCAACTACCGACACCTACTGCGCATCGTGCACCACCTGGTAAATATAGACCAATATTTCTTTGTCTCCATATCATTTAAACTCGAAATATTTAGTTTATTACCTACGAATTGTTCTAAGGATTAGTTGTAATAAGAACACAAGTCTTAATATTTTTGCATAATGTGACATTGTTCTAAACTAAAAACCAGTCTTCATAAAAGAGGTGTTTGCCCCTTTTCAAACTTAAGGTAAGAGATGTTATCATTATTGTTAGTTGTGTGTAGTGGTATTAATTTTATGACATATCAAAGACCAAAAAAGGTAATGTAAAATGATAATTATGTGCTGGGTATCATAGTTGTCACAAGTAGTTAAATGTTGTATACCGGGCTGATGTCCCACAATATAATGAGGATCTAAATATATGAGAGTCTGACCGAAGACTGTGTTACGCAGAATTGGTGATGGACAATCGGCCCCTAGTGGGTCCCATGGGCCAAGCTTATCTCAAATCAGACGAGTATGGTAAGACTTCAACACGCGATATTGTGCCCTAACTGCATGTATATTGTGTGCAAATTTCATTGGCACATGTAACACTGTTTCGACAAACTAATTGCTTGCGTTAATAAAACGTGTTGTATGCCCTTGTATTATGCAACATTGTGTTCATTGAATCTTAATATTTAAAGTCTTTTGTTTGGTTTTTTATCTAATAAAAATAAACGTTTTATTAGCGCAGTCGCGTAAGTTTAGTATGTGTACCACTCATTTCATTGATGTGTCTTTATACAGCAGGCAGATTGTAATGTCACCAACATTGGCACATTCATAGTACCTAACATAATTATACAATGTGTTATAATAACCAATTTCATTAATTTGTTACCAACATGAGACTCTGTTTAAAATAAATTTGTCCTTTATTAAATTATTTTAAAAAAGAAAAATTATCAATTTGACTTAGTATTTAGTTAAATGAACGCCGTGTTACATCATTAATTTTAATATCTATTCTGTTTTATTTTCTTAACAGTAACACGTTTTTTTCTTATATTACTTACCATCCTGTGTAAAAAAGGTCAATTATAAAGAATTATAAAAGAATAAATTAAACAGTCCGTTAAAAATAAGAAACATAAATTTAATAATAAATGATCTTAAAGTAACTTATAAATTCCGCATGAGGCTTTCAACACGCTTTCTAATAGATAGAAAAATGTTATGGAACACAGCAGTACACGTTAATAAAGATAAAGTGTAAAAGGACACATTGGATTGGGCATGTGTAATTAGTTACACAAAATGCTGATAATTCAATGTAGGTTATGCTACCCATCTTAGATTATAAATGCATTGTGTACAGGCTAATAGTCATGATACCTCTATAGAGCAGATTTGTATTAGTTTTAAATATAAACAAGAATTTCCAAAAGATCATAATACCATGCTATAGTAGGCAGCTTTGTAAGGAAAAGTTAACATATGATTGTAGTTAAACCCTTTAATTGCAAGAGTAATTTAAGAATTTTTAAATTTGGAAGAAAAATTATCGAGTCACGTGACCGTTATTTAAAACTCATCATTAATATTTAAAAAATAATACTTAACAATTATGTTAATTTTATCATTATTGTGTCTGGTCTAAATATTATAGTTTTCATCCCAGGTCGCATTGGAACTCCGCATTATATGGCTCCAGAAGTCGTGTCCAGTCAGCTCTACGGAAAACCCGTGGACGTTTGGGCCGCTGGAATATTGCTTCACGTTTTGCTCGTGGGCTATTTACCATTCACCGGCACAAGAGAGAGACTGTTTGAGGCAATTTGTCGTGGACGGCTGAGGGTATGATTTGTTTATTAATATAATTTTGTGAGTTTTCAATGACAAGTAGTAGATAATTGGATGTATATTGTACCTAAATAATTATGAATCACAGCTCATGTAATAGTAACAAGTAACAACGGACGATAGTACAATAGAATTGCATACTTCTGATTTCGTTTCAATATTTTTTATAATAAATCGATAATTAATCGATGCGGTTCTTTAATCGAACTGTAATTTAAAATAAACCTTCTAATCTTATATTACCGGTAAGTGATCAGTGAGCGGTTCTTTCTAATCGCTGTTCCAATTTAAAGTGTATTCTGAGTTCGAAGCATGTGAAAGCAAATTATGATACAATATTATAAACCTTTGATTAAAAGTATTAAATTGCATTTGCGAAAACAGTAATATAATGTGTACATAAATAAAGTTATAAACTCCATCTATTGGCTTAAGTGTGTACTTTTAATGACTTGTTATCTATCAGGCAGTTGATAGACTGACAAGTGATTGTGAAACGTTTGTATAAGTATTCATCGCGTTCGATGTGTGACAATTGTCGGCCTTGCAAATTATCCTTAAGGGTTACTATCGCGGACATACTTTTAAACAATATAGAGAGAATCCTTCTTTTATACAGATGTCTCGGATATCTTGAACCGTTTTCGCAGCCCACTCAACGCAAACCTTTAGAAATAATAATTTTCTAAAATTTTCCACATATCCTACTCTATCTTCGCTGATATTTGTAGGACCGTAATTTTTTTTTTAAGCTAAATCCTTTATTGATAAATGTTCTCACCAACACAGAATCTTCTTCAATTCGAACTAGTAGTTCGTCAGATTCGCGCGTTTGAAAAAACTCTTCAGGCGTATAATATTAGTATTGATATAATTAAAAATATACACGTTGTCCGATGTGTTCAAAAAGTTACGTTAACCACTTCTGTTTTAACGAATTTATCTATGAGAAAATAATAAATACCATATTTTTCCTATTCGTATTTCTTTTTTGCTTACAGTTCGATGCACCACTGTGGGATGACATCAGTGACGCGGCTAAAGATCTAGTCCAACGTATGTTGACCGTCGACCATACGCAAAGGATCAACATACAAGAAGTACTCAACCACAGATGGATAAGGGTATGGTCTCACCGCGCTAAAAATATATCAATGTTTTTTATACAAAGATCCTAGGGAGATTAAGCTTGATTGTTGTATATAAATATTTCTTTTAATTATTTAACACTTATTCAATTTTATGTATAGATAGGAAGATTCATAGTTGTATAATATATATTTGTACTGTCATAGTTACTTAAGTCGAAAATAGTTAATTTACTACATATATTTATTTAATTAAATAAATAAAATATTATATTTTATTTATTTAATTAAATAAATATATGTAGTAAAGATAGATTTACAACAGATTTTTTTAACAGAATATTATTCATACAGTTAGAAATAGACATTTACCAGATAATCAATGACGTGAATTCTAATATAAACAATAAATTACAATTTAAAAACATATCAATAGACTAAAAAGAAAAATAAAAAAAACAACATTTTGTGCCTTATTCACAGTATTTTGCATTTCTATGTTACAACTGCGAGACGACTGATCTAGGTCATTGAACTTATCAGTTAAGGCATTTAGCTCGTTACGAAGGGCGACGTTTTGTTGCAAAAGCGTGTCATCGGACGTGGTGTTGGTTTGTGCCGTCTCAACTCGATCAAGACGCTGCTCCCAGGTGTCCATACGTAACGATAGTTTGTCGAGGTCCTCTTTGAACGATTTCGTAACGTCGCTAATCGCAGCTTGTACATCTTCACGCCATTGTAATCGCAAACTGTCAAGCTTCGAGTCTAAATACTTCGTAAGCGCATCGGTGTCAACATTTAAAACCGAGGACGGTGGCGTGTTGCGGCCTGGCGACGTAGACGCCAAAGTGTTGGGGGATTGCTTCTTAGGCTTACAAGTCGGGCACTTCCACTTCATTTTATTCATAGGCAATATTTTTCGGAAATCACTTTCACTCAACCCTACGCAATAATAGTGCATATGCGCGCTACAGCCCGTGCATTTGATGCCATCTTTATCAGGAATAGCCTTTATGCACTTATTGCAATCCATTTCAGCGATTGATAACAAGACGGTCGTTTCACAATAAAAAGACGGTCGCTTAACGATGTTGATCCGAAGTTGCCGGCAAAAAGGACATAAGCGCCGGGGAATACACGTCGCTTACGCGTTTAGTTCGTACGCTTTAACACAGCACTAATCTCTCGATAAATTCGTAGTTATTTCACGTAATTTTAAGTGCAAGAACTCAATTATATAAGATTTAGTAATTCACAGTTCCTACACGCACTATTAACACTAAATCATTAACTTTAACCACACTTTTAGGGATTATTTATTTACGCTAAGTACTGGAGGTACACTGCTTCGCGCGCAAAAGCCGGTAGCGGAATGAATAAAAATGAAAAGTACAAAATGTTTTTTGTTCCTTTCTTTAGTATTTTGATAAAATAAATTAGGTCACTCATAAACAGCTTTCAGATAAGATTTAATCTTACTTTTAAAAGTAAACGATGTGTCAAACATGTCACATTATTTTGTTGTCACTTTAGACGTGCTTAGCATAAAATGTTTTTAAAGAGAGCAATAATCTTTCTTATTTTTAATAAAGGATCGCGACAAGCAAAATCGCATTCACCTGGCTGCCACTGTTGAAGAATTAAAGAAGTTCAACAGCCGTCGTCGTTTGCGAGCTGCTACTTTAGCTGCAGCGTCTGTGGAGGATGAAGAGGAAGAGGAGCAACCAGCAAGGAGGCAAGCATTGTTGGAAGAGGCAAATGCTGCCGGTAATTTATAATATCCATTTAATTTATTACAAAGTAATTTATTTAGTCGATTAGTTTTATATGTGAAAGTTATAAAGAATATGACAACTTTGCTTAAGATAGTTACACATTATATGAGTATATCATACTAGCTGTGCAAGCGACTTCGGTCGTATAGAATAGTTGTTTGGGAATTGGTTTTAGCAAACTTCCTCCTCAGCTTTATAAATTAATTATAGCCGTCTCCCACGACGTCGTTCGCGCCCGTTATTCTCTCAAATTAAATAAAAGATAGAGTTATACTATCGCGGACGATTTTAGATCACTTAAAAAGGAATCATTTGTTTCATATTTTTGGGTGTTTTGAACCGTTTTCGCAGCGCCTGCAACGGAAGCCCACACTTATGAAAAAGAACATCGAATTGGCTTATTTTTGTTTTAATGGAAGATTGTCTTGCATGTATTGTTTCAGCTGTAAACCTGATAGTGGAGTCTTTGGATGATGTAGCGGTACTGCAGGATGGGCCGCCTTTTATGGACCCCGATCTGTTTCATAGTGTACTTGACGATCTTCAGCTACGTGCTTTATTAGAGGTATATATTTTTTTATTAATATGCTCAAAGTACTGTATCATTGTAACCAATGACCTGTTTCTTTATTATGCGTAAAATCACATATAACGCATAATATATAATAATATAAAAATAGTCGCACGGTAGAGTATTCGCTGATATTTTTAACGAAAATACTAATGTCACTAGCCCATTACTCAGACATAGAATATAAAATATATTTTATGTTTAAAAGTAAGTCTAACAGCAAGTAGTGTCTGTAGTTAACGCGAGTAATATACATTTCAATAAACACATCTGATACGTCGGGCGTTAAATCGTTAAAAGTTAAAAAAAAAAACCTAAATGCTCTGCATCAGCCGTAGTCACGGGGAGACTAACGGGTATTTATCAGGAAGCAATTCACTATATTTAAAACAAGGACTATAACTGTTTAAAACGCGATATATACGGAAATAGTCGTGACCACGGCTGCTGAACCATCCGAAACGTTGGGCAGTAGTTAAAATAATTTTCAAATAAGTATAACTAATAAATTACGTGTTTTAAACTGTTGAAGTTCCTATTTTACAGACAGTCGTTATTTTTGTATATATTCCTATTTCAACTTGTTTGTGAGTCTAGTCTGAGTCTATATAAGATGATATTGTATAGACTTATTCTTAAGATATCTACAGTTAAATAATTATACAGGGTGTAAATGAAACAGTTTTGAAAACTTATAAGGGCATATATTAGGGGCTAAAAGGTGTAATATGGTGCTATTTATTTTCATTTATTTCAAGACTTTTTTCAAAGTTTAAAATACGAGTATGAAATGTACAGCGTACAGCCCTGAAGCGTACTGCAATACGTTTTGTAAATAGTCGTATTATTATATGAATCACACATCACTGCTGCAAAGTTTAACTAATATATCGCATTTTAAACCGTTAAAGTGTTTTATTTAAATATTAAATGATTGTTAATACAGGTGTATGACCGCATAGCGTGCACTGTAGTCGTTACGAGTGGTCGCGCCCCCGCCGCGGAGGGTCGATCTCGCGCTCGCGCCGCTCTCGAAGCCGCGTCGCGCCCAAGAGCTGCACCGGTTCCGACAGGTGCTGCACCCGCAACTGCAGCGGCGATACACGAACTTCGGCGTGTCCTTGCATCTCCATATGTCAAGGTAGGAACAGTAGAATAAGGATTTTTTTTATTTATTTATTATTTATACCACAGAAAACACATATAAAAGAGGAAAAATCTTACTTACTAACTTTTAAATAAAAGGCGGCGCTAAGCAGCGATCTCTTCCAGGCAATCTGAAGTACAGGAGCAAAAAAGTAGGAAAAGACTTTTAAGTGGGTAGATGTAAGGTTAGGATCACGAGGCCCTAAACGGGAGTCTTCTCCTCAGTGTCATCATTGTGATGCCTCAGATGACACAGCCCGACATACTCTAGAAGAATGCATTGCCTGGTCACGGCAACGTCACGACCTTATTCAGGTCATAGGTGATGACCTCTCTCATCCAAGCGTCGTCTCACACATGCTTCGTGTGGATGACGTCTGGAAAGCGGTAGCCACCTTCTGCGAGCTGTTGAAGGAGGCGGCTGAAATAGCAAGAGAGATGGCGTCTAATGACCCACTGCGAGCGGCGAGACGGGGATCAAGGAGGGGACGCTATGCGCACCTCCGCCCCATCCCTAATCTCTCTTTCGTCTGGTCGGAAATGGGCATTGGTGCTAGGAGCTTCTGGAGTCGTACAAACGTGTTCCCAGGGCTCCCTCTAAGCACAGTAGAGTGGTGGTGGTGTGTTTAGTGGTTCTGGTCGGCTATACGATTGACCATACTCCCCACGTCACACTTGCGACGTGGGCGTGCATTAGGCATTCGCACCATCAGTAAAAAAAAACAAAAGGTAAAGTTAAGGTTGGGATGTATTGACTTATTAAGGCTAGGGGCCACTCGGGAAAATCATGAACTGATGTATAGGTAATGAAATGCAATAAAGAATTATTTAAATGTATTAAAATTGAGAAAAAAAAAGAAAAAAAAACGAATGTTACGCGCAACATAATTGAAGTGATCGTTAAGTTGGGTAACAAATTGTATGTCTAAAGAATTTAAATAACTATGTTTTAAATCGGTTTTAGGCTTATCGAAAATTCCATATGGGTCGCAAACAACTATCCACAGATGAAAAAAGTCCTGATGTTTGGTCGCGTTTTGGTTTGTCTGGATTTCCGAATGTGCAAAGCCCGAGTGAATCCCGCGCTTGCTTGTCCTCCTTTATCATTAGAAATGATTGTCATATTTTTTTTCGAAAGAATGATTGACATTTATTAGGAAATATTATTGTTTTATTTAAATATTATATAATACTACCTGACCCGGCAAACGTTGTTTTGCCATATAAATAATTTATAACTAATTAAATGACGATTGATCAGTTTTCGACCGGAGAGGAAAAATGATTAAATTACTAAAATGGCTATTAAAAAATAAGTGTTGATCGTAGAAGGGTGAAAATTGAGGATTGTATGTATTTTTGTATGTTGTATCATTAAAAAATAGAAATTAAAAATGTAGGGTTGGACTACCCTTAACATTTAGGGGATCAAAATCGGTCAAGCCGTTTCGGAGGAGTATGGCAACAAAAATTGTGACACGAGAATTTTATATATTAGACTAGTGTTATGTATTTATTTATTTAAATAATACAGCTATTACAAATGAGTTTGAGTCCTAGCGTCACTATAATTAATCCGTAAATTCCGTAAAATGTCGACCTTTCCTAATTTAGGGGTTAAAACGAGGTTTGATATTCCGTCCTTTCGCTACGCGTCGCAAACAATATTTTTATAATTCGGTTGTTGCTAATTCTTATTATTGTATTGTTGTTTTAATGCTAGTTAAGTTAAAATGGCGTCCATTGTAGGTTCGAAATTAGTGAAAAGTGAGAGTATTTTTAACAAGATCTTATTGCCGAGCACAAGTCTTCCCTCGCGTAAGAAATGACCTCAATCCTTAGGGCTTAGACTGAACATGTTACTTTATTGCAGGCTGATGAGTATGAAATTAGTGGGGATAATAGGCACCAACGGCTAAACATGCTCTCTGAGGCACGGGGTAGATGGCATTCCAAACTCCGGGCCTTGTATTTTAAATAGTATTAAATTTCAAATACCTAAGCAACACGAAGCCCGACCTTTTTTATTGATGGTGTTAATGCATTATTTGATCACGTCGGGCAATAGTGACTTGGGACCTATTATCGAATCTGGGACCTCGTGATTTTCAATAAAGTGATCTAACCACTTGAGTACCCAAGAAGTAGAAAAAAGTTCTAATTTAAATAAAACACTTTAACGGTTTAAAACGCGATATATTAGTTAAACTTATTTGAAAATGATTTTTAACTAATATATCGCGTTATAAACCGTTAAAGTGTTTTATTTAAATTGTGTACTACTCGCGTAAACTAAAGGCAGTATTTAATAAGTTTTAAGTTTTATAAAACAAATGTACCCGGAACAATAATATATATAAAACATACGAGTAATATGTTTTTCTATTTCGTTCGTACTCTATTAATCAACGTAAATACATGTTAAGACCTCATCGCATTAACAATAGAATAGACAACAATATATCACACAAAACCCTACTACTTCACAGTAACGAAATAGGATCAAGTCGGTAGACGGTCTTATTACTAGATGTTATTAGATGTAACCCTTGTGTCTTCAACTTGTGACTCGGTTTGCACAATCTACGGAACTTTATCACGTACATACCGTATAGACTAGACTAGAGCCAACTTTAATGGAATTGTTTATTGAAGTATGGAGAGTCGAGACTGTCTTACGTATAAGAGTCATTCGAAGATTGTACACGATTTAAGTGGTTCTATACTCACTGTAGAGTATAGAAATACTCTATAGAATCTGAAAACAGAAATGTATGTAAAATTACATGCTTACCTTATTTATCATATTATAATACAAGTGAAATCCCATTTTTTATTTGTTTCACTGATACATATATACTTGCTATGCTCTACTAGATGGATAATTTTTTTTTTTTTGGTATTTTTTAAAGGTTTAAAAAGCGATATATTTTAGTTAAACTTGTTTGAAAATTATTTTTAACTACGGCCCGACGTTTCAGATGCTTTGCCGCACGGTCACGGGGTTAAAAGAGCCATGGTCACGGGGCGACCGTGGCTCTTTTAACTTCGCGTTTTAAACCGTTAAAGTGTTCTATTTAAATGTGTACTCGCGTAAACTACAGACAGTATTTAATTTAAGCGTTTTCAATCTTGACAATAAACTGTTGCTCTTATATAGTTTACAGATGGCTCAGTGGTAAACACGTAAACGGCCAAAACGTGGTCTTTATCTTTGGGAAGTTTTAAGTTATTTGTAGTAAAGTATCTTTGTAATAGCTTTTGATTATTTTGTAATATGATTTACCTACAATGCTTTCAAAGTAGTAAAAACCTAAACTAAGGACGTGTCAACATGACTTATACCTAAGGCCTAATTCCTTCATCCCCGGATAAAGTTCCAAATATTTGCTCTCAAACGTTCCTCGTAAAGCAGTTCTTTATGTGACCAGTTGTAACGGCTTATAAGGATTTATTGCGCCATAACAGAGCTCATTGCATCATTTTTCACATTGTTGCAGAAAGTAAAACAATATTTCATACCATTTTACTATGCATTCCTAGGTTTAATATTTAGCTAAGTTAATTTAAACTGTTATTGCAGTAATAAAGCTTGATTCTATTCCCGAAGTGTATTTAACAGCGACCGTTTAATATTCGGAATTCCTGCAAAACTAGCGTTGCATTAAATGAGATATTCCCTTCCTTTCAACCCGCGACAATTATAACACTACAGCGGGCGAAACGTTAATAAAGCTGTCACATATTTATCCAACACCTAAGGTACTTAATTTGGATTTGCACTGGAAAGAGGAAACTTACATTTCACTTTGGGAGCCGCGGTGTCTGTCACAACGCGGAATTTTCAAGAGATCGCAAAAACTGACGTCATAAACCGTGAATTTCACGAGTGAAAAATGACTACGCCGCACATGATAAAGCTCAGCTGTTTTATGCCAGTGTTTTATTTACTTGCTCTTAATAATGCCTGGTTATTTGGAACAATTATTAATTCATTAATATTAAAATAAATGTTCTTAGCGTCTCTTATGCCGTGGATTATCGTAAATGTTTAGAAGGCAGTAATACAATAACATTTACCTTCGTCGTTATATGTAAAAATATAAATATGTGTTATCTGTGGCATTAACTTTACTCTATGAAAGGCAATCTATGGATGTCTATAGTTTAAAATCGGCCATGTTTGTTGTATTCTTTTTTCAAATTAGAAAAGTACACTTTATCGTCATTGTTAGATACAACTTGTTTATTATATCAGTGTGTTTGACTACGGGCGTCGTATTATGCTTTTGTTATGTTTTGAACCATCAGTAACGTGTTTCGTATTGAAATTCAGTTAAACCACAACTAGATAGGAAAAGTTCCCATTATTGAGCTTTCAAAGGCAGAACATACGCCACCATTCAAATTACCATTGCAAATTTTTAATTGCCTCTTGCGCTAAAACCAACGCCACTGATTAATTTAAAACTCGCTTAAATTTCGCTGGGCCAGCAATGGCACGGGTATTTTTTGCGACCTCTGATAGGGATTTTTTTGCGGAATTAGCGCATAATCCTGGACGCGTCCACTCATTAATCAGACTAATGACTGGCGACCGACCGCCCGTGCGGTTTCCAACGTGTGCCGATCTCAGATACGAGAGTAGGACCTTTTGATGGCATCGCTCATACAGGTTTGCCCTTTTTCTACTTTATTGGGGTACAAGATGTTGAAATGTCAACTGCCAGTGGTTGAATGATTGTAGGAAAGTTTTTGGTAGATATATAATTATTGGCAATAACATATTGCCTTATTTTTTTCAGCGAAATATATCAATTACTTCTAGTACGTTATATAGAATCCTAATCTGAAATCTGAAAAAGGTAATCGAGGTTACGAATGGGCGAACACATTTCTGTGTTCGTTTTGTGATCAATTTTATTTTCAAACAAGTAGTTGTTCAGACTTCAGAAACAGGACCTCTCGCACAGGCAACATATTGAACAATTTAGCTACAGAGACGGTAATACA